CTGTATGTTTCCAGTACTCTAAGACTAGCAGTATAATTGAGGCTCATTAGCCCAGCTGCTGAAGCTGACAGTGTCTTTGAAGACGGTATCCTTGCTCTGATGGAATTACCTTGTTCTCCTTCACTCATTTCTCTCCCTCCTCAATCCTGTCCCGGAGCCTGAAGAAATGTTTGTAGGTTCTCCTAGAAAAGAGACACCTTTGAAAGCCAAAGGGAATGCAAATGATCTTTCTTCACTCCTAGGGTCTGATCTTGTTCTTCCTGAAATCTGCAGTGAGATTCCTGCTATCTTTAGTGGTACCAGGCATGGTGTGACTAGGCCAGATGTAAGCTTGAAACACTCCCAGTGAAAAAGGCCTAAGTATACTGAACTGGTGAGACAGTAATTAATAACTATTTAGGAGAACATGGTTCCCTTGAAAGGCTAATTATTCTGAGAGGTACCCACTGAAAAAAAAAAAGGTCTAATCAATGAGAGAACAAATTAAAAATGAAGAATCTCTCCTAAAAGCAGACAGCAGAACACTGCATTCAAGAGGACAGCCACCAATTAAAAAATGTCAACAACTCAAGTGGTAGCAACTTCAAAAGGGAAATCTTGTCCTCATTTTATATGCATTCTTCATGAGCAACATCAAGCAGTGTAACATACTAATAGCTAGTAACACTCAGGATAAAATTCACTAATTTACTAACTGAATAATTTAATGCATATCAAAGGAACGATTTTCTCATTGCATTCTTTTTTTAGATCTAACACTAAGCTGGGTATTATGAAGCAGATGAAACTGCACAGATTACAAGTAATCACTGAAATAGTCATTTTAGAATTGGATTTTATGTTGGATGTCTCTTTTTGGTAGAAGGAATCGCATACCCTTTTTTTCTTATTATAATTCAGATTTAAAAAAACAATATGGAAAGTATATTTGTGGACTTGTGATGTTTTGCTGGAAAGTGTGTTTTGCGGAGACAGATCTGTTAGAATGTTACACTTCGGTGGGATGCAGGTAAGAAAGACCCTCTCTCGTGAGACTTCCCCCTGCAGTACCACGTCCAGTTCTGGGACAACAGCACAAGAGGGACCTGGAGCTGTTGGAGCAAGGCCAGGTGGTGAGCACGTACCTATGCAAAGAAACACACAGGCCAGTTTGAACCAACAGGGCAGCACAAGAGACACTGCTTAGATGGCAGAGAATTAAGCTGCTTATTTACTGAAAACATCAGCTCTGGGGAAACAGCACAAGAGGGATGTGGAGCTGTTGGAGCGAGGCCAGGGGAGGCCACAGAGATGCTTCAAGGGCTGGAGCAGCTCTGCTCTGGAGCCAGGCTGAGAGAGCTGGGCTGGGTCAGCCTGGAGAAGAGAAGGCTCCTCAAGGGGAGACCTTAGAGCAGCTCCAGTGCCTAAAGGGGCTGCAGGAAACCTGGAGAGGGGCTTGGGACAAGGGCCTGTAGGGACAGGCCAAGGGGAATGGCTTGAACCTGCCTGAGGGGAGACTGAGCTGAGCTCTTAGGCAGAAGCTCTTCCCTGTGAGGGTGCTGAGGCGCTGGCACAGGGTGCCCAGAGAAGCTGTGGCTGCCCCATCCCTGGCAGTGTTCAAGGCCAGGTTGGACACAGGGGCTTGGAGCAAGCTGCTCCAGTGGAAGGGGTCCCTGACCGCAGCAGGGGCTGGAGCTGGATGAGCTTTAAGGTCCCTTCCAACGCAAACCAGTCTGGGATTCTGTGACTCTTAAACTGAAAATGTGGACTGCAGAGACAGATCTGTCATCCACCCGCCCCATGGTGAGAGATTGGTTTGATTCCAATGCAGAATAAAAGTCAAATGTTAATTTTTTAATTGCGATAGAAATTTTCTACACTCCAAAATGCCAGACTAGGTATTGAAAAATGAAGAAAAGCTACATGGCAAGGACATTTTTTGTTTAATGTAATTTTTAGAAGTCTATTTACAGAATTCAACTAAATTTAAGCAGTGTTTTGCCTTTGCTACTATTGCACACTATGTAGCCCACTACCATCTGCTAAAACACTTTAAGAATAGGTTACCAGTTAAGGTACCAAACAGAAAACCAGCTCTTCCTTTAGTTCGTGTGTCACAGTCAGAAAGCCCAGAGCAGTTCCAGACTGATAGACAGCCACCATTGTCTCAACATCTGTTTGGTGGCAGAGTGAAGCAGAGTGCCCCAGAGTCAACACCACGCTGATACTGTTGAGTGTCTTCACTGATGACCTTGATGATGATACAGAATGCAGAAATAGCAGATATGAAGATGACATCAAATCAGAGTTGCTGACATGCCAAATACTAACTTCTGTGGAGGGACCTTCAGGAACTTAGGATGTGACCAAACAGATCAAAATGTATATAGTCTTGGGCAGAGCAATGCCATGTACCAGGAGAGGCTGGGAACTGCCTGGCTGAGCAGCAGCCCTGGCACAGAGGACTTGGCGGTTACAGGGAATGTCAGGTCAAATGGTGTGCCTGTTGTCAATGGGGCAAACTGTACATTGGCCTACTTTTGAAAAAGGGTGTCTGGCAGGTTGAGGAAACACATTATCCCTGTCTCCTCTGAGCTAGTGATGTCACACCTGGAATCCTGTGTCTGGCTTTTGCCCCGCCCCCCCCAGGTCAAGAGGACATTCAGAAATGGGAAGGGAAGGTAGCGGTGGGCTACTGGGATGGCTAGGAACAGTTAACATGCTTCAGGAGATCAGGGAGGCTGTGGGTTTTCATTCTGGTGCAGGGGGCCTAAGGGGTCATCTAATAGCAAGGTGCAACCATGTGAATGAGAGCTGGAAAGAAGACAGGGCCAAGCTCTTTGTGACAGATGGCTTAGTAAAGGGCAGTGGCCACACACAGCAGCCTGGGAGGTTCAGACTTGTCATTACGAAAAACTGCTTCCCCAGGAGGCTCCTGCAATAAGGAAGAGGTTACTCAAAGTGGGCAACCAAGATTTGCCTAGGTAAAATCATAGCAGAACTGCCCCAGTGTTGGTGACAGTCCTGCTTTGAGTGGAAGGCAGATGATGATCCTGGGGTCCCTTCTAACCAGTATTTCTAGGATGTAACTCAGATTTAAGCCTGTGGCATTATCAAAACCTTACCTAGATTACGTTAACTAAATCAAAGTTCACTCATTAGTAAATGACAGAATCCCAGACTGTTTTGTGTCAGAAGGGACCTTAAAGCTCATCCAGCTCCAACCCCTGCCACAGGCAGGGACACCTTCCACTGGAGCAGCTTGCTCCAAGCCCCTGTGTCCAACCTGGCCTTGAGCACTGCCAGGGATGGGGCAGCCACAGCTTCTCTGGGCACCCTGTGCCAGCGCCTCAGCACCCTCACAGGGAAGAGCTTCTGCCTAAGAGCTCAGCTCAGTCTCCTCCCAGGCAGGTTCAAGCCATTCCCCTTGGCCTGTCCCTACAGGCCCTTGTCCCAAGCCCCTCTCCCGGTTTCCTGCAGCCCCTTTAGGCACTGGAGCTGCTCTAAGGTCTCCCCTTCGGGAGCCTTCTCTTCTCCAGGTTGACCCAGCCCAGCTCTTTCAGCCTGGCTCCAGAGCAGAGCTGCTCCAGCCCTTGCAGCAGCTCTGTGGCCTGTGCACCTTACGTGGAGAGAAAACCTACATGAATTTCCTGACTTTCCTTTATATCACCCAACATTTTGCATAGACTTATATTTCCTTTCTAAAATAACCTCCCAATCCTTTCAAATTCTGCATATATGCAGCATCAAAGCATTTTGGGGAATTTTTCAGTCCATTTATATGCAGCTCTCTGGTGACAAGAGACATGTTGTGCAAGCAGTGAAGATGTCCAGCTTCTCTGGACAGTAACTGCTGCAGTTCTTTGCTGAAAAGTACTGATCACTGGGGAAACTGAGCCCTAAATACCAAAACACCTCTCTTTAATCACCTACTCTTTTGCAGAGGGCAATGGGATCCCTCTACTAAGAAGGATCTGAGATTTATTTTTAACTTCAAACTTTCCTATGCAGCCTAAAAAAAAAAAAAAAGCTGAATAAATGTATTTTCCTTTAGGAGGAGATGAGAGGAGAAAGAGTCTGATAAATTTTAGCTTAAGAAGAGATGCTGGCACCGTGCTATGTCCCATGCCAAAGAAAATCTTCTTTTCCCCAATACTGTTGGCTGGGCCAACATATTTTCAAGAATTTTTGCACCAAACTGAGAGTTCTCCAATGTGATGCTTCTGCGAACTAAGATTACTCTTCCTCTTCCAGTACTGGGATTCAGGAGTACAGAAGGTAGTCCGCATCACAGTGATATTGTAATGATCACTCTGAAATGGAAAAATATCACACATCAGTGTTTTCATTCTGCAGCTTGAGACATACCTTTGGGAAGTCAGTTTCTGATGACATGTTTGGGCAAATGATGCCTTATCTGCATGCTTTTTTGATGTATCATCCTGATTTGGTAACTTGAATGCCATAACCAGAAATCTTTGTTAATTGTACAGGGTTTTATGTCAGCGTAGTGCAAACCATATTCTGCAAACTATCAGCCCCATGAAGTCTGCTTGAGAAGCTGGAGATGATCTGTCTCTGTTAGAGGAATCACATAAATTTTATGTAATAACAAGAATCCCCAACTAAGGTAATCTCAGACTCCTGGATATCTCATATTTCTGTTTCCTAAAAATAAAACCCACTAGGTACATGAACTGGTACTGTAAACACAAGGGCAAATAAAAGGGTTCCACTGTTGCTGGACTCCTCCTCCCACTTGATCCCAGCAGTCAGAAAAGTACTTATTCAGGATTAAGTTACAGTAAAGAATTGTTGACCCTGGTGTAACTGAGAGCATAGATAAAGTCAAGTCAATGGGGTTTGCTTCAGCTTGCGACATTTCAAATGGAGCCTCCACATTTGTTTGGATCATAATGAAACCATAGAGAAAACAGTTGTTAAAAACCAAAATGCAGAGTCTATAAAAGCTTCTCCAGAAGTATTTTTTACTGAAATGTCCACAGTTATCATTATTGCCTCTCATTTGCGCTGCATTCTAAATGCTGTATGTTAACAAACTTAGACCACTTAATGCCAAGTGCTTTACACTTTTCTCTTATTGAAATTTCATGAAAGAAAGAATCACATTACATAAGTGATGCCAATCCAGAAAACAGCCTCTCAGAGAACCTGGGTAAAACCCAGGTACCGCTGCAGTAACCAGTGAAATTCCCATTGATCTCACTGGAGACAGGATTCTCATCTACTGGTCTTTGCTGCATATGGGTAAAAAAAAATGATCTTGTTACTTATGTATCAATTTATTTAAGAAACTTAGATCTTAAGGAAGTCTACGCTATCATTTATCACTGCCCTTACTAGATAAAATAAAATGCTACTTCATAGTGCAATAGTGTCCAGTTTTGAGTATGCGTGTAACTGCTGGAATATGCAGTAGATGCCGGTTTAGATAAGCTTCTAGCCTGTAGACAGGGCTATGCATTTGCTCTAATAATCTGCAGTTTTACTGCAGAATTTGAGCACAGTATTGGCTGTACTGAGCTCTGGGAGAAATGTGAACCGCTAGCATTTAGGGCTTAACTGTACTGTGATATGTTCAGCAATAAGTTACAGGTCATTAGGAGATGGAAAGTGACATAAAAATTAAGCAGATTTTAAACAACTTTTATGATCATTAATATAAGATCAGGCATAGCCGTTTACCTTTAATTAGGAGAGATTTTTCATCTGTGTGAAGCACACTGAAGTGGGCTGGTTCTGTCATTCTTCCTCTTACACAGTGTTTTTGCAGCAGTTTTCTGTTCCATAATTCAGCCATGCAGGGCTGTGGGGTTTGATGGCTGATTTCTGTAGCAAAAGGAAAAGATGAATTAGGGCTGCTCTAGGACAGCACTGGTCAGAAACAAGATGAGCAGGAGTGGTCTGAGATGGTATTTGCTCTGTAGGACATCATTGTCTTCCAGTTGCAGAAATGGTAGAGTTCTCTGCTGCTCATCAACATCAGTGCAAAGGTATTTTCCTAATTGGTATTTTTTGAAAGTTACTAAGATGTTACCTAGTTATCAGCTCATCACGGCCTGGGAACCATTTAGAGAAATGCAGATTTTTATTTACAACAAGGTGGTTTACCCTAAATAAGTCAGTCTGGTGCTGCTTAAGCAACTGTAAATCAGGATGAGAGTCACACAAACTTTACTTGAGGTGTTCAGATGAAAACAGACGTATGAAATTGCTTATGATCAGACTTGACAATATAAATTCAATGTGAAATAGGCTTAACTGTTTTAAAAATAAGACTTCAGATTCTTTCCAATAGCTCCGGTCCTTAAGCTGTTCAATCCTGCAGTGCCTATCCCGTGCCTGACTTTCTGAGCTGGTTCTAAGATTACCATTAATAGACTGGAAGTGGGGGGAAAAAGAAGTTAAATAAAGAAGTGAAAATACCTCATTCTGCAAGACCCCGTGTTTGTTTATTTGCGTTCTTTATTTTGGAGAAGCATCTTTAGAAGTTGAGTTTTCTGGTGGGGATGAATCTTTCCCTTTGGTGACTCTGGACCATCCATCCATCCCTCGCCACCTCCCCCCAGTCCTGGCTGGGGTTGCTAAGCGACATGTTCTTCTCTTCTGTACTTTAGCAGAGAGGAACAGATCAAAGACACCCACAGTCCTGAATTATTTTATAAATTAATTTAAAGAGACACTCTCCTGCGCTGTATTACGTAGGGGGAGAGCAAAAGTTGCTCTATATACTGAGAGTACCTGGAGGATTAAACTGATGTCTTCTGGAAAATAAGAATGTTATTACTGAGAATTATGCAATATTTACCTTTTTTTCTTTCTTTTTCAGAACTAGACTATGAATTCATGCTAAGTAATGTTTCTAGTCTTATGGCAATCAAGACATTGAATGCGACCTAGGCTGCATGTTTGTACGACTTTCAGCAGTAAGGTTTTCTGTCCACCAGCAAGGAGCTTGCTAGTTTTTTACTCTTTTCATCTCTTGCAAAGGAAAGAGTCACGTTATTCAAAAACTTATCATTCTCTAAACTTTCAATACTTTCTTGACTTACACTGAAGGCAAGAAAGTCACAGGGTAAATTCAAGTGGTATCTCTTTAAAAGAACAAATGAAGGTAAGAAAATAATCTGTGTACATCAGGCAAAAAACCCTAAGACACCAGGATACTTGGTCCTTTCTGAAATGAATGGAAATCAAATGAAGGATCTTTAATAACAAAACCTGGGAATACATGAGTTAAATGTTACCTCTCAAAGACAGCACGTAGCTGGCCTCAGCTCAGGTCTACTAATCTGTGCACACTGGGAGATCAGTCAGCATGCACTGGCAATTCAGGAGAACGTTTGCTGAAACAGGAAAGGGAGAACTTAATTGCCCTAAGAACTCCTCAGTTTCAAACACTATCAACACTGTAAAAGGAAAACTCCCACCATTTAGTAACAAAGTGCAAGAAATTTTCAAGCCTTCGGTTTCCCAAAACACAATTGCTGCCCAGCCTGAAGGAAAAGGAGAGGCACCTAAATAACATGCTTACAGCAGTGCCCAAGCAAGTGAGACCCAGCCTTTATGTTGTCAGCAGAAGTCCCAGCTCAAACAGCTGCAAAAAAAACCACCTTGACACCTGCACACGGAATCCTTCCCATATGCAAACCTCGTTTTGTCCCAGCTACCTCATCTGCACAACCAAATGTCTCCCCTAATGCAGCAGTGGGGCCTTGCTCACACAAACAGGTGCATCCCATGGGTGCAGGATCACTGTCTTTGGGTGTAAAGCTTGCCCGGGTGCAGCACAGAGCTCACTCCTCGCTCCTTTCCTGTGCCTGCAATCCCACACAGACTTGAGGGGAGATTAGTGAAACCTATTGCACTCTGGGGCTGTAAAGGGACTCACATAAATCTTCACAAAAAAAAAAAATTAATCAGTGTTAGCATTTATTTACATGCATTTTACTTTCAATGAGAAACCAAACCTCCTTTGTCCTGCATCAGTAAAAGTCTCGTCAGAATTCTAACGCTTAGCTTTGGCACTTAAAATCCAGTGTACTGCAGTTAACCTCTCTTCTCATGAAAGCATATTTTAGGAAAGGCCTTAAGCAGCTTTTTCATTTATTACTAGATATCTATTACATGGGCAAGATGAGGGTGCTGAGACCCCGGCAAAGGTTGCCCAGAGAAGCTGTGGCTGCCCCATCCCTGTTAGTGTTCAAGGCCAGGTTGGACACAGGGGCTTGGAACAACCTGCTCTAGTGAAAGGTGTCCCTGCCTGTGGCAGGGTTGGAACTGGAGGAGCTTTCAGGTCCTTTCCAAAACAAATCATTCCGTGATTCTGTAAAATGTGTGCTTTATTCTCACTGATAGAGCATTTTATGTACAAATACCTTGACCACTGCTATGTTGTCAGTGATTAGCAGATCCAGTTTGTTTTGGCTGAATTTCTGAAGGGGAAAACTGTGATCTGCACTCTAAATATTTTTTCTGGAGAATGGATTCCTCAACAGACTATGGGCATCTTGTACAAAATACAAGTAAACATTCAGAAAGGAATTTAATGCTTCTGGCAGGTATCAAATCACCAGCCGTGGAAACCAAAATTCCCAGGACTCCACCACTGCTCCTCCAAAATATTAACTAAACATTTTAGTTCATATTTATTACAGTATTTTATTAGTATTGGTAGAATTTTGGTTAATGAATGTAATCACAGGTACGAACAGTCAGGGCAGAGGTTTGGGCCTATGAACAAGGGATGACGCTTGTGGTAAGTGGGAGACCATTGAAAGACATTGAGAACATTAATAATGTCACTTCATAGAATCATAGCACCATGGAATGGTTTAGGTTGAATGGACCTTAAAGCCCATCCATTCCAACCCTGCCACAGGCAGGGACCCCTTCCACTGGAGCAGCTTGCTCCAAGCCCCTGTGTCCAACCTGGCCTTGAACACTGCCAGGGATGGGGCAGCCACAGCTTCTCTGGGCACCCTGTGCCAGCACCTCAGCACCCTCACAGGGAAGAGCTTCTGCCTAAGAGCTCAGCTCAGTCTCCCCTCTGGCCAGTTAAAGCCATTCCCCATTGTCGTATCACTACTGTCCCTCAGGAGGAATTCACCTCCCCCATCTGATGTATCTACAGTGCTTTGCCTGCTTAAAGCACCACAACGTCCCAGTAATTCGTGATCTGAATGTTTCTGAAATGATCAGCAGTGTCACTTAAATTGCCATTAAAATACAATTAACAGCCCTTTGAACTGAGTGCTGTAGTTCCCAACAGCCTAATTGGTGGCTCATGGGCCACATCTGGACAACAGGAGGATTGTGTCTGCTCTTCCTCTTCTCTAACTGCACCAACTCAAGGAGCACCTTGTCCCAGGAGCGCAGTCGTGCCCACAAGGACAGACACGCAGAACCATTCTGTGACTGGAAAGGCCCAAAATGTCCCTTGTGTCCAGCCCACTGTGCTAAAAGCCTGGATTTTGTAAGCTCACTTCATCCTGCGTGCAGACTGGGGCAGGCACAGCCCCACAACTTCGTAAGTTGCAATTCAAATAAATTTCCTTTTTTTTTATTTTTTTTATTTTTACTTGGCTTTCAGAGTACAGCATTGTGCATCAGGAGTTTAGTCATGAAATAAGGGCAGCCCATGGTAAGACAAGTTAACAGGGCTGTCTACAGCTATGGGTGATACACTGGTATACCATGCTGGTGTATGTTTGGGTAAGAGAAAGAACTGAAAGTGAAGGTATGGCTTGGATGGTGTTCCCAAACCGGCATCTATATCCCCCATTTAGGTAGCTAAATCTGTCACTTATGTGCTTTAGATACCTGTGTTAATTGCATAAATGCCAAAAAAAAATGACGTTTTTAAGATGTTAGAAAGATAAATAGCTGCCTCTGAAACGGCCATAGTATAGATTTTTAGCTCCTATGTTCTCTTTGGACGATACCACTTACAAATGCATCGTATTTGGTGTTGTGTCTAGCTGTAGTAATGTATTAGTATCTGTCTGTAACACAACTGATGCTCCTGAAAAAAGCACTGTAGAATATACTTTAAATACTGCCTTTCTGTGTGTCTTACACAACTCTTCATTAATACCCAGAGAACAGCATGCCACTGTTCCAGGTTTTTCATGAACCAGTTCTTCTGCTCTCCACCAGCTCCTCTTGCCTGCTTCCTAATGCCTTTCTTATTTACGTTTTTTACTTTTGCAAACTCCAATTTAGAACTGAAAATGTTCACACTTTTGTTTCTTAAATATAATGCAGGGTAGCGAATGGACCTGATGTAATCTGCATACTGTGTGCCGCGGCTAAGTATCCACTGCTCTGAAAGCACTGCTTGTTCTCTGAAAGGAAGAATTCTTCCAGCCAGTGGCACTTGCCCCCTCCTCTGTGAGGCTGCTTTTCCCATACACTCCCAGGACTCATTGCCAGTCATCTTTTGCCCTAAAAGTTTGCTGGAGCAACATCCCCATTTACCCCATGTCTGTACAGGGCTGAGCTCCGAATGGGTTTGCTTTAAGGTCCCTTCCAACCCAAACCATTCCATGGTTTGGTTGGAATTTCATGATTCTATAAGATGCGTGTATAAGGAGGAAATTCTTCCCTGTGAGGGTGCTGAGGCGCTGGCACAGGGTGCCCAGAGAAGCTGTGGCTGCCCCATCCCTGGCAGTGTTTAAAGCCAGGTTGGACACAGGGGCTTGGAGCAAGCTGCTCCAGTGGAAGGTGTCCCTGCCCGTGGCAGGGGTTGGAACTGGATGAGCTTTAAGGTCCCTTCAACCCAAATCAGCCTGTGATCCTATGTCCCATCTACAAGATTTTGGTGTTGGCCTGGCATGTTTTGCTAGTATTTGTAGGGCCTAAAGAAATTATTTGGAAAGCAGCAGATACCTTTGGGAAATATTGAAAGAGAAATAAAATAGACTGAAAGAGAATATTAACTGGTCAACTGGCCCAACAAGAGAGAAAAAAACGCAACTCTAAAGTGGTTGCCAACAAGCAGGCTTGTAATGCCTGCTCAGGAAGAACACGCAGCTCCTTGTACGCTTTCATTCTGCAGTCCCCACTCATACAAAGTGTTCATGCAAAGAACATAAATTGCTGCCCATTCAAATATAATACAGTTCCTAAAACTGCTTTTTTCAAAAACATAAAATACGCTGTCTCAGGACGAACAAGAGACCAAGTACTAGAAAACGGGATGTGGGGTTTGTCATAGCCACAACTTTAAGAAGAGGTGCTCCAGGGGAGATGTAAGTAAATGCTAATGATAGTAAACTAATAGTCTACTGGATAACTGACAACCCATCAAAGCACAGGCCAACAACTGGAACAGGAGAAAGTATTACAAGTATCTCACAGCAAAATTAAGATGCAAAGGGAAATCCCCAAGTAACAAAAAGACACTGGAAAGAGTCTTTGCTCCACCACTGGTGTCCTTGCTGGGCTTCTGCCCCAGTGTCACCTATTTAGATTAACCTCCACTTCACAGGATCATAGAATAGCTAGGGTTAGAAAGGACTTTAAGATCATCCAGTTCCAAACCCCCTGTCATGGGCAGGGATGCCTCACCCTAGACCCACCCAAGACTGTCCGACCTGGCCTTGAACACTGCCAGGGATGGAGCACTTACCACCTCTTTGGGCAACCTGTGTCAGGGCCTCACCACCCTCACAGTAAAGACAGGAAGTAGTTAGAGACAACATACAGAAAACAGTCCTGAATATGGAAGTATTCAGGTGGATTTAGAAATTTTGGGAAAGACTGACTGGTCTCAAATGACTTACCTGAGGGCCTGAAATGTGAGAAAATCTCTGAAGAACTTATCAAGAATCAGTAGCAGTTTATCTTGATAGTAAACACGGATGCATGAAATAAAGCAGCCTACCACAAAATGGCTTTTGACTAAGAGTGAAAAATGTAATGAGGAAGAGCGTGCTTTGGGTAATTCTACATTCTGTTGAATAAAAAAGCAAATGCCATTATGAGGGAGAAAAAAAACAATCTTCTGTATAGTCAACACTGGGCACGTATTTGCATGAGGCAAGTGCAAGGAGAGCAGACTTCCTGAGTGCTAGAATAGAAGCCAGCAGCCCTCTCTTAGGCAAAGAAGTAGGATTTACTCTCAACTCTCACAAAACGTTAAAGGTCCATTAGGCCAGCTGGTAAAGGAGAATGAAAAGACCAAAACCTGCTCTTTCAAGGGACTCCAGTGGACACTGGCAGAGAGTGCCCACAGAAGCTGTGGCTGCCCCATCTCTGGCAGTGTTCTTTGCCAGTCTGGAAGGGGCTTGGAGCAAACTGCTCTAGTGGAAGGTGTCCCTGCATGTGGCAGGGGTTGGATGAGCTTTAAGGTTCCTTCCAACCCAAACCAGCCTGTGATTCTGTGATTCTTGTACATCTCTTACTGTCTTCACTAACCATCTTCAGATTCAAACCAGTGGCTTAAGCTAAAAGAAACAAAGAGCTTGAGAAAGGCACAAATTCTACATGGCCAATGCAAGAGCAGCACTAAACAGCAGATTAATATTCCTCAAGGCAATCCATCACCAAAGTTCATGGTGGCCAGTGGTAAAGTGCGGAATATTTTCCTCCATAGCACCAGCCTCCTGCAGAAGGTCCATGCTGTAGCACAGTGGATATATACACTCAACAGAAAAGGCTTAACACCAGCAAAAAAATGCAAGTCATATTCATCAGGTATTGCTGCAACTATTTCTTACAATTTTCAAGTAAGTTGAAGTGTTAGTGTGGGGGAATGTTTGATGGGTGAGAACAGAGCAGCTGAAACTAAAAATTTCAGCAAAACCTTCTTTGCAGAGAGAATGCTTTACAAAAGAATCCGTGAAAATTTGTATTACCCAATTTTTGCTGGAGGAACAATGTAAGAAAAAATGAACTACAAGCAATAAATCTAAGCTGAGCAGTCACCTATGGGTTCTTCAACCTTATGTCTTGCAGAAAGCTGGAAATGAAAGAAGTTCCAGAGTGAAACTCCTCAAAGAGCTGATGCTGATGGAGACTTCTAAGCCTTTATGTAACTCAGGTGTCTCCCAAAGGAACATTTTATTGCCTAAAAGGAAAATGTTGTGCCATAGGTATCACAGATATTTGAAAAAAGTTATTGTATGCTAAAGCAAGATGGAGTTTGTAGGTATTTTGGAAAGCTGAGAGATACCTGAACGTGGAAATTCTTTAGTTGTATAAATTTTGGGTGATTTATATAGTTTAATTGCACCAACCAAATGTACAAGAGAGGGGGATGTCTCACCCAGTAGTGCTATGTTACAAAATCAGAGCAAGACTACAGCAAGTGACAGATTTTGTCCCCACAATCTTTTTTGCACTTCAACAAGTTTTTTTTTTATTTATTCTATTTTGGTAAATATTTTAGCCTGAGTGGCAGGCATGCCTACAGCTGTGAGCTAACAAATGAAAGGAAATCACTTGTAATAACTTACATCTTGAGGATGAAGGTAAGTCAACCTGCAGAAGTGTCCCAGTATAATTTTCCTGGTTTTATATAAATCACATGAAGATTCTGCAAGCTTCTGTAAGAAAATGTTTAATAAGTAGGTATGCAAGCAATACAGCCTGAGAGAACCAAGGGTCAGTTTTATTGCTGCGTGCTATCTACCCCCACTACAGTCAAATGTTCTAGATGACAGGGAATGGAAATAATAGCTAACAGCAGAATTATGTTGTAACAGCAGAATCAGGGATTTTTATTTGCAAATGTCCATATTTAAATGTAATACTGAAATAATATAAAACTTATTTCACTTTGAGCACTGAAATAACAACGCAGAAAAGTACCATGCCCACAGGACCATTTGCAGACCTGATGGTGAAAAGGAGGACTGGGAGTTTTGCTCCTACAGCAGCAAGAACTGTGAAGTTTTGGGACAGTAGCTCCACAGTGAGACACACCATAGTGAGAAAGGATGAGAAATATGAAGGGAAATCATGTAAGACAAGTGTTTTCCACGGTTAATATATGTATCCATTCCCAGGCAAATGTACCTATCAAGATTACCATGGCTAGCCCATTCAACAGCTTATATCCATATTCATTTCACAGTGGGACCAAGTTTCGTTAATAGAGGAATCGAGACTAAAATGATAACATTCATCTCCACATTCTTGCCCTGACATGGTTATTCATTATAAGTTCTTCCTAATGACTGTTCAGTTCCTTCCTTCTAAGGAGCCACTCCTAATTCTCTTCAAGTTGGATAATGACTCACTGACTTTAATATTAATCCTTATTAACCCTTCCCGTGCACAATCAACATCTGCTAACAGTGCAACGTGCAGTGTCTCACTGCTGAGACAGCAAGGTCCTCACTGCCTTTTCCTCTACTGCACCATTTTCTTACAGGCAGAAAACCTAGAGATTCCTGTAGGTTTCCTGCAGCTGGCAGAGGAAAATATACCTTGCCTTCATACCTGTGGTGAAAGGCTCTGTAAGTCTATCTTAGTCTACCTCTTTTCCAGTTTAATTTTGTTTTCCATAAACTACACTTCTTTTCCATCGCTTTCTTCTCTGGCCAAAGTTTTAGTTGCATCAAGACAGCTATTTGTATCAAGCAACTTCCTGAAGCACCTTGTTTCTCTGTATATTTAACTCCCTCCTCTCATGGAGGAGAGGAAGGGTCCTGTTTATGGATGGGCACATGAGCCTGGCAGCTTTCAGTTCTGCTGTGTCTGCCCAACACCATGGGAAGTGTTAGGCTGCTAAAAGCCAGGCTTCTGGTGGCAGATGCTTTTGTCTTTCCCTCTTAATCAACAACAAACCAAACCCAACAAAACAAGTAAAAAACAAACAAACAAACAAAAAACACTTATACCCGAAAAGCCATTCCTAAGGCGACTGAACCTAAATATCCTGTGAGACAATTAATGACTCAAGTATTGAATTCTCCTTCAATCAGCTATTTCTCGATTCTTAAGACTGATTAGAATGGCCTGTCTGGTTTCTCATCAAACCTTGTACTGTTTGGTACAGCACTGAACACATGTAGGCATGTCTGACCACCTGCACTTCATGTATGCTGGCACTTGTTCTTTTGACCAAATCTTGGCATGCTTTGGTATCTTTGGAATTCTTAAGTTTTTTCTCCTTGATCCTCTTTCCTTCTAGTAGCACCATTGGTCTGCTACCATGTTTTGTGTGTGTCAAAGTGTTCTACAGCATTTTATTTTGATGTTACCATAATGTGCCTGCTCTTACAGGAAAAATAAGGAAGTCCAAGGGAAAAATACTTTGGAAAGAGATCAGGCTACTCACTTTGGAAACCACACTCCCAGATCATGACAAAAATAGATTTCTAGGAAGAAACATGTATTTCTCATTGACTATTACCACAGCTTTACAGTATTTTATCATCCTTCTGCTATACCAGACGGTCTTGGATGCAAACATCCAGGGAGTGGCCCAGCACTAGTGCTTCACTGCCTGTAAGGGAACCAGCCTACTCCCTGAGAAACAGCTATTCCCCAGTGGGAATACTGTAGGTGCCAATCCTGCCTGCCTGTAACCGCATAAATATTACATTCCCCCCACCCAGTCAATACAGTATTAATGTGAATATACAATATGTGCAGCTGGACATTTTCTTGATACCTGCAAGACACAGAACAACTAAGTTGCTGTTATTATCCTAAGGCAAAAGGCCATAAAAATCCCAGACAGGTTTGTGTTGGAAGGGACCTGGCCTTGAGCACTGCCAGGGATGGGGCAGCCACAGCTTCTCTGGGCACCCTGTGCCAGCGCCTCAGCACCCTCACAGGGAAGAGCTTCTGCCTAAGAGCTCAGCTCAGTCTCCACTCTGGCAGGTTCAAGCCATTCCCCTTGGCCTGTCCCTGCAGGCCCGCGTGCAAAGCCCTTCTCCAGGTTTACTGTAGACACTTTAGGCACTGGAGCTGCTCTAAGGTCTCCCCTTCAGGAGCCTTCTCTTCTCCAGGCTGAACCAGCCCATCTGGAAGTTTTACCGGCAGCTACAAATACACAGTTGCGGGCGAAGCGAGAAGAGCCTGTAATTATTATTTGTAAGTAACGGCCAAGCTGCCGTTCTCTCGGAGGGGAAAGCTCTGTGGCCCAGTAGAGCGCTCAGGCGGCCCGAGGCCGGAAACTCTACAGCACCCCGCGTCAGGGCCCAACCGAGCTATAAACGGCAGCGCGGCCACTGCTCGCCGTGGTGCAGGCCCAACAGAAGACCCCAGCCGGCGAGCAAAGGGGGCCCGGGACGCGGCTTTCTCAGCGCCGACCCGCCATGGCGGCGGCGGCGGCTCTGCCCCGGCCCTAGCAGCAGCAGAGCCGAGGGGGACGCTGCTGCCCGAGAACCCGCGGCGCGGCCCGTTGGACTCCGGAGGCAGGGCCGGGATGGCGACGCTCCAGCCAAGCCCAACTCGCCGGGCCCGTCCCGAGCGGCCTCCCACCTCCCCCAGCACCCCCTCCCCTTTCCCGCCATCCGCTTCCGCCCGCGCTCCCGCGCATGCCCGGGTTATGCAACGGCGAAGGCGGGCGGGCAGCGCGGGCCGCGCCACAGCCGCAGGGCAGGGCAGGACAACGGGGGGCCGCGAGGGCGGCGGGTCCCGGGACGGCGGCGGGGCGGCGCTGGGGGCGCGCTCCCGCCACCCTCCCGCCCTCCGCCGGCGGCCGCGCGCGCACCCCGCGCCATCTGTGAGTGGCAGCGGCGGCCGCCGCCAAGTCCCGCCCGTTCCGCTCTCCCTGCCGCAGGCGGCGGCGGCGGCGGGTTGGCTTCCTGCGCGCGGTGCCGCTCCCCCTCCCCCCGGCAGTCGGAGCCGCAGCGGCAGCAGCCCGGATCCCCGAGCCATGGCTCTGTGAGAGCAGCACATGGCGGCCGCGGCAGCCATGAGCCCCCCACTAATCCATACAACTCCCCCCTGAACAGCCACCGACGGCAGCCAGCGCTCCCACCCGGCTCCACCGCTCCCACCGCCCACCCGCAACTACAGCTGCCACCGCGCCGCCCGGCCCGAGCCCAGACCCCGCCGCCGCTGCTGCTGCCGCCGCCGGGCCCCCGCTCGCCCGCTCGCCGCCGCCGCCGCCCGGTCCTCACCATGGGAGTGCAGGGTTTCCAGGACTACATCGAGAAGCACTGCCCCAGCGCCGTCGTGCCCGTCGAGCTGCAGAAGCTGGCGCGGGGCAGCCTCGTGGGTGGGGGCCGCCAGCGGCCCCCCCAGACCCCGCTGCGCCTCCTCATCGACGCCGACAACTGCCTGCACCGGCTCTACGGCGGCTTCTACACGGACTGGGTGAGCGGCGGGCAGTGGAACCACATGCTGGGCTACCTGGCGGCCCTGGCCAAGGCCTGCTTCAACGGCAACATCGAGCTCTTCGTCTTTTTCAACGGCGCCCTGGAGAAGGCCCGGCTGCACGAGTGGGTGAAGCGCCAGGGCAACGAGCGCCAGACGGCGCAGCAGATCGTCAGCCACGTCCAGAACAAGGGCACCCCGCCGCCCAAGGTCTGGTTCCTGCCGCCCGTCTGCATGGCGCACTGCATCCGCCTGGCCCTCATCCGCTTCCACATCAAGGTGAGGAAGAGAGGGGCTTTCCCTTCCTCCCCCCCCCTCCGGGGCCACCAGCGCCCCCTCCCCGCCGCTCCCCTGCGCTAAGATGGCAGCGGGGCTGCCCGGGGCCGGGAGCGGGGGAGGGAGGGGGGCGCACCCCGCCTCTCCCCTCAGCGCCTCAAAATGTCGTCGAGGCCCAAGTTTCGGCGGCTTCAATCCATGGGGAATTTCGCTATTTCAACGGCGCTGACGGTCGCCCCGTCGACCTGCAGCTCTAGCCTGCGCGGGCCGACGGGGCGACCGTCAGCGCCCAGGGCCTCCCGAATTCCCTTTTTCAGTGAAGCCAGGCCCAGCAGCAGGGAGGTTTTTTTGCCTCCATGTTCTTTCGGGGCCGCCGCTCCTTTGACTCAAAATGTCCCTTCTTGCCCATGGCTCCCTCCGCCCGGGCTGGAACTTTGGGACCACTTGTACCACACTCGAGAGCGTGGTGATCGAATTAATTACTAAGACGAAAGGGGGGGGGGGGGGGGGGAAGAAAGAAGAATCGGTTTAGTTATTACGCCTGGAGAGGATCTGCAACAAGTTCCCTGCTGAGGCAAGGCAAGGTTTAAACTTGAGGCGAAGGTGCAAGTCGCTCACTCCAGAATACAGAGTTTCGTGTTTATGGAGGTTTGCTCGGCGTTGCCCTAATGTATTGACAGGCTTTTGATCAACTATGGAATAATTCATTCCTTGCTCCGTAACGGCGAACGCTGCCCGCATGTGAGGTCGGGATCTAACAGCTCTTCATTTAAAGGTCTTATTTTCGGGGGAATCTCTGCTTTCTGGGAACAGAAAGGAGCTGGGGTCTGGGGTGATCTTGCACCGGCACCCCGGCCACGATTTCAGAGGTTGCAGGGTATTAATGTGTTGTCTCTCCCTGTACAGCATTTGTGATTTACGGTGGTTTCTGTTAAGCCCAGCAATTGTGCGGACTGAAACCCAAGGCGATAGAAAAACAAGCCCTGGGATGAAGCGGCAGTTTTAGAGGGTTGCTCGCTTGCTTTCCCGAGAGGGAGAAGGAGAGCAGCGGCACTGGAGCGCGTACTCATAAGCTTTATTATCATAAATTACTTTTATCTGTGTAGGAAAATACTATAGAACCTTCAGAGCCGCGGCTCGATTGCGAGCAGCCGCTTGACGTTATCTGGCTTTTGTACTGCACTTGTGGCAGGTTGGAAACGCTCCGGCCAGGTTGCAGACCTGGGGTAAAGATGACTCCCTTGGAGTTCACCCAGAAGGTGGCTTTGGGTGAAGTTTCTCCTAGTTCTGATAGCGGGGCGGGAATTGCTGTTGTTCCCTCCTGGCCCCCTGCTTGCTTGGCCTGCCTCATCCGGAGACAACCTTCCCTTCGGCTGCCTGGTTGGGGGGCCGGTGGAAGCCACCCGGGGCTGGCAGCGGGTGTCCAGCCCGTTCAGCAGCGGAAGTCCCGGCCCCCATGGCCTAATCTCTGGCATGGCTGGGGGCACCGGGCCGCGCGAAGCGCGTGTGGAACAAACTGGAAGCAGAGGTGAAGCTTGTTCTTGAGCTATGCTGAGCACAATGGCTTGGGCTTGGTACTGGGTTAAGGTGAAGGGGTGGTTGTAGCTGGCTGTTGTAGTAATCGTGTGTTCCTGGTCAGCGTAGAAGCAAAACCCAGTATGGGTTTTGGCTGTGAATGATGGTAGGAATTTGCGTGGTAGCAGAAACACCCTCTCATTTGAACTTTTCTTTTGTCGCTAGGAAATACTTTTATTCTTTAGCAACAAGTTTTAGGGACCATGCAGTGAAGGTGTTTACCTTGATCTGGTTGCAGGTGCTTTATAAATCTTCCTTAATTTGTTACTGAGATTTACAGATCATTAGTAAAAGTAATGAATGGGGTAAAACCAAGATTTTATTTTTTCCTTTAATGTGTTAAACTGGATACTTTGTTTAATGCAATAATGAAATGCATAGTTCGCAACAGGAAGCTGGCTGCTTTGAGATGGGTAGGATTTTGGTACTTGTAATAAATAGCCTCATAGTATGTTAAACTAGCTGTTAGTCTTCTGAATGCATTCTGTCTCAGCCCTGGTGTCTTTCTGTTAAAGTACTTTTCATCCAACTACAGTAGCCACATTTGACAACGGTGTCACCTGTAGCACTTTGTTTACTTTCAAGCTTAGCTGCAGCATTAGCTCCTTTATGGTTTCTTGGTAATAGGCCTTATTCCTAATCTCTGGAAACCGTTTTAAGAGTGAGAGGTCAGGTCATACCTAGTCCTTTTTCCCTTGTTTAATAAAACATATATAGATACAACCTCACGCCCAGTTTTGATGGGGACCATTTGAGGGGTGGATATTTGTCTGCTTTAGGTTAGCACTGGAAGTTGGCAAGTACTCATGACCAAATACTGATGTGTGCTGGGGAAACGTTACTATCCTTGAGCCCCCTTGTGCATGTCTCTGCTTTGGTTAATTGTCCTGGGGATGGGAAGGGTGTCAGAAGTTCCCACTTGATGCTTCATTTGTGCAGCTGTGAGACACTGGGGATAGCTCTGGTTTTAATTGGTTCATTCTCTGGTTAGGAAGTACATTTCATGATTATAGTAGTAACATGCATCAAAGATACTGCTAAACTTAAATCACATTCCTTCCCTGCTTTTCTTTTCTTATGCAATTTATTGTATTTTCTGCTTTATTTAGTGTATCTTTTTATCAGCTGTCCTGGGCAAAGAGCAAATGCATCCTGAAGAAGTAATTTTCATTTGCATGTGTGGGTGATTTTTGGTTTTTTTTTATTACATATGTGTAAGACAGTTGCCAAATTCTAGTGTTTTCTTGCTTTGTTTTGAGAAGTTGGGTTAGAGAATACTGATTAACTTTGTATATGAAACTGATTTTCATATTTTCAGGAAATGTTTGAGGCTTGAGTAGAAGGCTTCTGTGCAGAGTGAGGCTCTGGCTATGAATTTAATCTATTTTGGTAATTAGAAGGGAGAAAGGGAGTAATGTCTTCTTTCCAGAACAATTATAAATCACTTGCAGATGGTTTCAGCAGGATGTAAAAATAACAAGTTCCTCCAAGTTGCAGCGAATATCCTACAGGTTCTTGGTTTCATTGTGACCTGGTATTTTTCTCTTTGGGGACAGGGGGAGTAATTCTTGACAGTTTTCTGCAAAGCAGGTTTGCTAAAATTTAAATGCTTAAGCAGCAGAGATCTCAACATCTTTAATACTTTGGTGAGACTTTGTTTTGTTCTCAGTATCTAGACATGCATGTGCCTGCTCACTCAGACAGGATTGTCTCTTTCTCATCCAGCATCATTGATGTTTACACAGGATTTAGACTTGAAAAGTATTCTGAACTGCTGGCTGTGATTTCCCCCCCCCCCCCGGGTGGGCTTTGAAGTGTGCATGTTGCCTGGGTGCAGTTGCATCTCTGGACTCTCTTGTGAAAGCTGTACCATATTTTTCTGACTTTCATCTTGTTACAGTTTTACATTGCAGGTTAACGCAGCTTAGTAAATACAGCTCTTGTACTCTGACAGCTCACTTATTTGAATGTGGATTCTAGTATTACTTAAACACACTGCAGGCTCATGCTCAGAGCTCACTGTGTCAGCTCTGTAAAATGGGGAGGGAAGGAACTGGAGGCTGTGGAGGCAGAGGAAATAGTTCATAGGAGATGACAGCAGGATGTGCACAGAGTTTCCTCTTGTGCTACCTTCACACCCATGTCACACCTAGTGCTGCAGAAAGAGTTCTTACTTTGTTTTTTGTGGCTGATCTGTGGTTCTCATGCATGCGAAGACATTGGTTTTAGATACAGGTACATAATTTAAATCTCTCTACCCTTAACGGAAAGAAAAAAAGCCATCTGGGGATTTTCCTTACTTAAAGCCTGTAAAGACTGGGGGGCACAGCAAAGCCTAAATCGCCCTCCCTCATGTGGTAACTGCCTAAATCTGATAGCTTTACATTTTTCCCATGATGTGTACAGTCTCTCCCAGCGCTGTGTACAGCCCGCACGCATTATGCTACGTGACAGGGTAAGTATTAGAAAAACGAATACACTTGTTTTTCTTAGGAGCAAGTACATTTCGAAGCAACTGACAGTCCGTATGCAAGTTTCTGAACAGCTAACGTTTTCTGAGACTATAAGGTGGTAGTATTAGGAGTACAGAGAGTTTAGTGAGCTGGTTATTACAGGAGTACCGTTGGAGAGTAACGTGCTGGCTGTTCAGGGTTTTGCTTGAAAGAGGACATCTCTGGCATCTCTTGTGTGACCTGTAATGGTCCTTTCCAACTCAAACCCTTCTATGGTCTCATGAGGCTACATGGGAAAAGCAAAAGTTTTACATACGTCTCCAGAATGGTAATTCAGTATCAGGTTTAGAAGATGTAAGGTATGAGCAGGAGAGGAAGTCTCTCTAAACTTGTGGCTGAACAAGAGCTCTTTGAGGGGTAGATGACTGTGGGACTGTTAGAGCGGACTGTAGAGGTGTAGGACCCTTGCTCGTGTTCTGCAGGACTTCAGCTGCAGAGGAATAAATAGCATCTCTGGCACTAACACTGTAATTATTCATGTGTACTGTGGTGACTGAAGCTAATAGTTTTGTACTCTTCTATTTTGGGATAGCTTGCTGTCTGCATTGTTAAAATGGAATGCTTGGT